CTTCTTGGTGCTAAAGGATCTTGGTGACAAGATCATAGAAGTCTAAGAAATAACCTGCCTGGAGTCATTAAAACTAGCCTTAATTTAAAGAATACATTTATAAAATGATTTGCGACTAACGTCTGTGAACTTTGTACAAACATCTGGCTCTGGCTCGGTCTTTAATGTGTGTCTTTATGTCCACATGAACACAATTCTTGAACTCTTCCATCAGTACTAGGTTCTTAAATTTATTGAAATCTGTGTGTATCTTAGTTGCGTGAAATCATTTTCCAAGGAGTTCTCGTCGAAACTTAACGTGTGTTTGGCCATCAACAGCAACATGATTTTTTACGGTATGTTTGGGGGACATATTCATAACCATTAAGTATTAAGTACTTTACCAGCAAGCACAATAACAAAAAGTACAATTAACAACATTCTACATATAAACAAAACGGAAGCAAACAGTAATAGTGACCTTCCTGCATTTTTTTTTAAAGTGGATAGATACATTAACTTTTGAGATACACATTGTGAGTACTAATTATTAATATTGCACGTCATTTAAATAAAATCCGCAATTAACAAGTCACGGTATTTTTATTTTACAAGGTAATTTTGTGTGCAGCCGCTTGGTGGCGTGGCTTACAGTTTAAACACACAAACAATGAAATACAGGTCTGAGAACTCTAACTTTCAATTTTGTGGTGTATTCCGTTGAACAGACAGTCAAATTGCTCACATATGCAGCCGACTCGAAGTATCCGTTTACACACCCAGCATCAGCTGAGTACTCACTCAGAGCTCAGAAAGGTCCGGGTTTAAATCTCCCTTGCCTTCTGTAGCTACTATGATGTCCACGTCCACGTCATGAGCTGTTCACCCGTCCTCCAGCTATGCCCATCTCAGTTGGTGTGAGCACGCCTGAACTAAACAATAATAGCACAGGAGCGTGTTCCTTTGCCCCATAGGTGGCACCCAGCCACATATAAAAATGTTACACAAATGCAGTTACAAAAAAAGTGCCACATTGCCACTTGAGTTCACCTCCAAAGATTCAATACTATTATACCACTACTAAGTTATTGACTGCTAATATACTTTGTAATATTTCAAGAGAAAACCAATTATGAAATGCATACTTTTATGTTTACTTTAACCATGAAACAAGATAGACCTGGAAAGATCTTTAAGAATGAATAGCACCTAGTTTAGTTTTTAACATATATGTATACATTTTAAAATATTTGAAAACTTTAAAAGGAAGTAAAAAAAATAATTTTATCTTAATTTCATGCATAATTGTAAAAAGGGCCGTTAAATGCATACATCAAAAGGAGATAACCTAACTAGAAATATCCCAACATTAAAACACTGTTACCTGCATAAGATGTGTACTTTATTAAAATATAAAAGTTACTAAAATAAAATAAGTAGCTTTTTAAAAAGATAAACCTGTCTACAGCAAGAAATATTTAACTAAAAAGTATTTTACAAGACCATCTGCGTTATAAATAGATTATGGAAGTTATGTGCAGGTAGCATGACTTGTAAAAATAATTCTTTATTACATGTGTGTATTCATTTTCGATCAAAGAAATTTAGGCATACAATTGTTAATGTGTGTGTGTTGTAGTTAATTGGAATTTTAGCACTACAAATCAGCAATATGTGTCGTTTTGATCAATGAGGAAAACAATTATCTTTTGTTAATTTATATCAAATCAATTTACTAAAAGGCCAGTAAAGCTTCTAAAGCTATTCTTTCAAAATGTGTTTCGTTACTTTATTTCTGATTTGTACATAACAACAAATCGGAATAGTTTCATTTTCATATCCACGATCGATTTTCTTCGCTTGAGTACGTAATTCCTGAAACTGGAATTACAGCTTTGAACTTAAGTATTGATCAGCATACACAATTTCTAAGGGTCTTCGTTGTTGGTGTTAATCCTATCTATACTCCTGCCGCTGTTGATAGGTGACGTTAATTACTGGCTGCTCGTCTCGGTGACTTTGCAACATTTGAAAATCTACATTAGATTTAAGATCAAGTTTCAAACTCTGCACAGTACTTACAATATGGCGGCTGTGGTGAGTAGTTCATCAACGTTTGGATATAACTTTAAACTAAACTGCTAATCTTTTGGTTACTACAAAAAACTATGTATGTGCGTCTATTTTGTAGATAATTGTTGTGCAATCCTAATATCTATTTAATTAATAGAATTATTATTTATTTTAACTTAAGTTAAAAATAGTAAAATGTTATTAAACAAAAAAATTTAATGAAATTATTTCGTTAAATGCAAAAGCATAAGAGAATACTTATTTTTAAAATAGGATACTTTAAGATTTCTGAGCAATTATTATTTCCTCTCGTTTATATTTTTGATGCCTTGTTAAAATAATTCTCCTTTGCATATAATTTCCACTTTTATCTAAAAATAACTTGACCCACTTGGTTGCCTATGTTAAAATCAATAAGTTGATCGATGGCCTCATTGAAATATTTCGCAACGACGTAAGGTAATGTAAGAGAATCTCTGAGCTTTACAGAAAAGTTATATTAGTTGCAAAAAATTAAATTATATAATGACATCAATAGACTGTGAAGAGCATTAAATACTTTACCAAAAAAAACTCAGACTTAAACAACTATACCAGGGGTTCTCAACATTATAACATCCAAGGATTGCCTGCATTTAAAATCACGATTACTTTCTCACTACCAGCATTCTAGGTAGCAATTGATACATTAAAGACAAGCTTGCACATTTTTGATCGGTGTCATCCGAATGACCTCAAATGATTCTCAAAAGTAAAGGATACTCGACTTCTCCAAGCCATGAAATACATTCATGACTTTTTCGAGGTTACTAAATGAAATAATCCAAAATGTACATACCTTATTACAAAAGCGTAGAACAAAACAGGAATATGAAGCATTGTGACATTTAAAAATTATAAAAATAATATAACAATTAGGAAACTTAAAGTAGCATATGAGGAGTCAATGTTAAAGAACGACCCATTTTAGCAAAATAATAAATCATGTTTTAAGAGTTGATGGGGTTTTTTTTGGTGTTTTTTTTTTGGGGGGGGGGGGTTGGGGGGCATGACATTCCTACTTAAAAAAGGTAGAAAAATATTTTATTTTAAAAAGAGGAAAATTTTAACTTGCACATAAAAAATCATGTTTTAAGAGTTGATGGGGTTTTTTTTGGTGTTTTTTTTTTGGGGGGGGGGGAGTGGGGGGCATGACATTCCTACTTAAAAAAGGTAGAAAAATATATTATTTTAAAAAGAGGAAAATTTTAACTTGCACATAAAAAGCTTTAAGTTATTTTGATTTGATAACCGCACGTGACACAACAGATAATGTATTTTCCCTTTTTACAATTAAAAATATTTACTATAATTGGTTGCGTTTTAAATTGTAAATGCAATACAACAAATGCTAGCTTTCCATTTTCAACATTTAAAAAGGTTTCACTTATTTTTCCTTCCAAAAATTAACTTTTATCTAATTAGAAAAGTAATAAAAACTTAACGTATAGAAATACTTTTAATTTAAAAAATGCAATGTTACTAAATTAGTGCAGCGAAGCTTCAGAGCCAAATAGCATTCACTGATTCAATTATTGCCCATTCAAGTAAGAAAAAATCAAATTAAGTTCACGTATTTTACTTTTACAAATTATTTTTTTCCGATTGCCAAAACATGATTAATTCATTTGGAAGGGAAGCAATTAAGTTTTTTGAAAAAAAAAGGGTTGCTTGCAGGTGATTGCCACCTACATTTTCTACATTTTTAACTCGATTAAAGTAAGTTTAGTAAGGCAAATTAAAACATACCTTATTGAATGGTTTCTTAAATAGACTTTTAGTTTGAATAATTTATTTCCTCTTAATTCACTGTATATTCAGCCAATCCATGTTGACATGCCAAGAACCAATGATATGAAATCAGAAATGATATAAAGGAAAATTGTTTTTTTTTATCTCATCAATAAAAAAAATTTTCTCCATGGCGGTCGTAGCACATCTAAAGGTTTTTAATCAATATATGTTGATTGTCTCGCATTTGACGCATCTTAAAACGATTCTACCAATTAGTGCGATAGTTTTCTTACAGTGCTAGATGATTCTGATTAAAATAAAGAACACATTAAATTTTTAAATATTTTTCAATCCATTATCAAAGTAAATTAAAAATAGTAAATGAAAAAAAAAAAAAAAATTAAAATATTGTTTAAATCCGGTAAAATAAAATTTGCCAGTATCGAAAGTCTTATCTTTTTATGATAAAACATGTTATTTCATTGCATAATGTGTTATGAGACTCTTAGACTTCATCATCAATCAAAACTAAGTTCTAAGCCCTTCTTTGTTCATTTTAATACTAGGTTACATGGCATGAGCGTATGATGGATTTCCCATGTGCGTTTAACCTACTAGGTCCTCCTCTAAATAGGGAACTTCTCCAACATATGAAGCAGAATGTTTCTACGGACAAACCCACTGGCAAATATTGTAAAATTCAAGAGACACGAAATAAGAATTTACTAACATGGATTGAGCATCTCTTGGATCCTTTGGAAAGCAGGGCTAAAGAAATCAATGATTATGTCATGGCAGCTACAGACAATGATAACATTGCATCACTGGGAAATCGCGTTTTTCTTTTGTACGTGGAAGGAAATGACTTTGACGCTGAGGAATATCTTAATACTCTCGAAGCCATGAAAGAGCGTCCAGATTTCGAAGACCTGATGACAGAAGCTAAAGCGGAGCAAGCGTAATATTACAGCAGGATGGGTGGTTTTGATATGTCAGTCAAACTATTCCGAGAAGTTATCAGTAAAAAGCCTTTGAATCTCCTGTGGAACTACGGTCTTGGACTGATGTACAGACGCATGACAAACTCCAATGTGTTTTACTCGGTAAAAAAGGAATACGACCTACCAAAGCTCATCTCCCTGGCAACGGAGAGTCTTTTGAATGTCACCAGAGGCGATGACCCACAGCTACGTGGTTTAGCCTACACCCAGCTGATTGTCATGTTCAATAAATTTTCCAAAACTAAACATGCTCGATGGTTTCAAGGATTAAACGGCAATGATTTGTTTGAGAGAGCTCTAGAAGAGGCATCTGACAATCCAACAGTTCTCTGTCACTGCAGTAAATACTTTCTAAATTCAGGAGAGGTCGATAAAGCTATTGAATTGATCGAAAAATCCCTTTCATTCAGAAGTAATTCGATAGCATTTCATTATCTTGGAATGTGCTATGAAATAAAAGCAGAGAAAGCTGCTAAGGTTGCTATACCTTTAAATGACCAACGTTGCAAACAAAACAACATTGACAAAAGCCGAAGACCAACAAGAGGAGAAGCTAATCATTCCCAATTAAACGTTAATAAAGAAACGTACGATCCTTCACTTGTTTCACGCCACAATTCTGTGGTAAATAGTAACAGTAAAACAGGAACTACACCAAGCTCCATTGGAAATCAATGTACTATAGTTAAAAAAATTTCAAGGCCAACATTGATAAGGTTAGATCAAAACTGCAGGTTCGTTAAAAAATCTGCAGCAAATTATGAAGAGGCTATTAAGTTTTCTAAAAAGGGAAACATACCATCTATCCTCAGTTTGGGCAAACTTTATAAAAAAACGGATCGTTTTAAAAAGGCTCTGCAACAATTCAGGCAAATTATAAACCTTAAAGAAACAAAGATGAGCTACCTGGTAACTTTTATCACGGCCTATGAAGAGGCAGGACTTTGCTTGTTAGAGCTCAGTGACCAACATCAAGAGAAAAGCCAGGTATTTCTTGAACAAGGGAAAGAATACTTGACCAAGGCAATTAGCCTTGCTGCTGATCTCGCATCATTGAAGTCTGGTCCAAAGCACTGTAAAGCGTTTGTATGGAAATCTTTTAAAATATTAAAAAAATGATATTGACAGGATGGATAAAGGCGGAAATAAGGGTAAAGAGAACATACGTCTTTTAAAACTATTAAGAGATTACATGGGAATTGTTACTGCCATAGAAGATATGTTGGAATCTGAGACCGGGTTGGATGACCCGGAAATGGTTTTATTGGCGGTAAATAGTTACCTGATTATTGGCGAGTATGAGAATGCCTTGGCCTTTGTCAACATTGTTGCACTTTCTTCGGAGTCTGGCTTGAAAGAAACTGAAAACAGTGCATTCGAACGCTCTGAAATGATGGACCTTAAAGCCGCCATGGCCAAAGTGTTTCTGTTTGTTGCTTGGGAACGTCTGCAAAAACAATCGTCGGACGCTAAACGAATCTTTCAAAAGTTATTTGCCACAAAGTACAGGGAGTTTGCAGAAATTCAATCAGAGAATGAGGACGAAGTTCCCCGAGCGAACATTCTGATAGTTAATGACTCATTTCAAGATTGTGAAGAGGGATTGGGTCAGTCTACGCAGATCTCCAAACAGCTACAACTGGTTTTCTCTCAAGTTTGTGGATTCAAATAATTTATCAACTTACAGGTAAATAATCTTTATTAAAAGGATTTATAACATTAAATACGTTACAGTAGTCTCTGTTTTTTAACCATCCTATTACATACAACTTATACGGTATGTTAATTAAGAAAAAAATATTTTAATACGTTAATGATGGGGAATTTACTTCTTTTCATTCGTGTTTATTCCCTTGTAATTTCTATTGAACAAAAGTTCATGGTGATGAATGAAAAATAAATTGAAAATAGTTTTTTTTAAAAATCAAGTACTTGTAACCATACACTAATCGTAATGCTATTTTTTATAGTATCTTAAAAGCTTAAAATGATGGTAGATGAAAGAAAATAGAGATATTGTTTTGATTGAGTGCATAGGTCGAGTTTTAATACTCCAGTCACTTTTTATAAAAATCATTATTACTTACCTAAATTAACAAACATTATTATTTATACCTTATGGTTTCTTGAACAAGCAATTTTGTAATAATATGTAAACTTGTAAGCAGTGTTCATTTCAGGCCTCTCACAGTGAGTGCACTGTCCCCCACCTCGGAGAAAGTCAAGTGCCCCCCCCACCCCCCCCAGTAAAATGTGTACAACTAAAAAATCCTAATAATCACTTTTAAAAAAAGAGTACTAAATTGTCATTGAATTTTTTAAAAATACATTTAGAGAAGGTTTGTAATCTATGAAACATTAATATGCTATATATATTTGATCGGAATATTTAAGGCAAAATTGATAACACATTAAAATCTAAAAAGTGTTATTAAAAAAATATTTAAAAAATTTAAAGTTAAAAAAAAAAAAAAATTGACTTGGATTTTTACTATGTTTTATGAATTTTTTTTCAAGGCAAAATTGAGGAAAAATTAAAATTAAGTCAAGTATTTTTTTTCCCCCAAAAAATAGTCATCACAGGGTTTTAAGCTTAAGCCGCACAATTACTTCACTTGTTAAAATATATTGGTACCTGTATTTATTTATTATATACAAACCAATGTGTCAGGCATGTCTCCAGGAGGCAATGCCACCCAAACTCAGAGCAATTCAAATTCCCCTGACCCCTGAATATTTTCGAAAACGAGAATACAATTTAGTAAATACGTAAAATATAGCATAGGTATAACACATCCCTGTTGAGAGATACTTAATTTTGTTGCTCTCCGTATAATGCGCAACTAAATTTAGGTATGCGTAACATGAATTGTTGCATTTCTAATTTATAACAAAATTTTCTTGGGAAGAAATCAATGACTCCCCCTAAACTCACGCCACACAACTCGCATTCTTCAGGGTAACTCTCGACGCCCCAGATTGTTGCTTTACCCACCCCCCCACACACATACTCCAAATGACGATCAATTGAGGGCTAAAGTAAGTTGGGGGCCAAAAGAACACCATAGGCCTGAATTCAAGTTATGTATCGAATCAGGTGCCCCTATCCCTAATTGGTGCACTGATATATTTTATACAAACAGTTAAAAACGATCTGGACACTTTGTTTAGATAGCAATCATTGTTACATAATAGCATTAACATTTACGAATTCGGTATAGCAAATTTTAAAGTAAGATTGTTCCCTATTGACAATTCAAGTACGGTTTTTTATCCAGGAAAATGTCGACTACTACAACGAGATGGAGGTTCTCTTTCAGGAGATGAAGAATTACCCCCTTGTGCTAATCGTTTTGACTGAAGAAAAAAGGTAATCTTATTAAGATTTACAATAAAGTAAAGAAAAATGTTATCTTAATAAGATTTACAATAAAGCAAAGAAAAAGGTTATCTGATTAAGATTTACAATAAAGCAAAGAAAAAGGTTATCTTATTAAGATTTACAATAAAGCAAAGAAAAAGGTTATCTTATTAAGATTTACAATAAAGTAAAGAAAAAGGTAATCTTATAAAGATTTACAATAAAGCAAAGAAAAAGGTTATCTTAATAAGATTTACAATAAACTAAAGAAAAAGGGTTATCTTATTAAGATTTACAATAAAGTAAAGAAAAAGGGTTATCTTAATAAGATTTACAATAAAGTAAAGAAAAAGGGTTATCTTATTAAGATTTACAATAAAGTAAGACGAGCAAAATATTTGTTTCCCGCCAATAAGATAAGAATGTCTTACTCTCGATGATGGCTTGTGATTTGGCTACACTTACTTGTGCCATGATTTATTCGGAGGACATTCCTAATTGTGTACGATTATTTTTTATTTCAGTGAATTATTCACAAATTATAATATGTGTACATGCATGTGTTGTGGAAGGGTAGGGGTTCAGTCGGAAAAGTGGAACTAATTGATTAAAAATCGTAAAACTTGGAACTTTAAAACAATGTAAATGGGAAGAAATATTTTTTGTATTTATTACTAAATATTTATTAATCACTGGTCGGATGGAATTTTCAATAAATAAAGCAGTGACATAAAGCTATATGTTATGTTAAACACGCCAATAAAAATACTAGAGACTGTAATTTTCAGAATAATTTTTCTGAGAATTTGCATTTTAGAGATCATTTGTGAGTATAAAAATAACGTTCTAATCTTAACCATCTCTTATCCTCTTTTTATGAGGGTCGCTATAATTCACTGGAAAAAGAACGGTAGCTGTAAGTCTAAGGTAATCTTACAACAATATAATAACAGCTACTTGTTTTATGACCCTCTTTACAGGGACCCATTATTTGACCACATGCTACAGACACTACCAGAAATTAGAGATGACAAAAATAATCCGATCAATGTGTTTATCATTCAGTCCAGTGAGAGGGTCGTCATTCCAGACATGTTGCTCAGATACAAGCAGCAGGGATTTACGTTAAGCCATGATGATCCGATTCTGTCAATTAAAGAAATTGATGAATGCTTAGATGTCACCAACTCAAGTGATACAGCTCAAACACATTCTGGATCTTTAGATGTGACCAACTCAAGTGATACAGCTCAAACACCTTCTGGATGTTTAGATGTGACCAACTCAAGTGATACAGCTCAAACACCTTCTGGATGTTTAGATGTGACCAACTCAAGTGATACAGCTCAAACACTTTCTGGATGTTCAGATGTGACCAACTCAAGTGATACAGCTCAAACACCTTCTGGATGTTTAGATGTGACCAACTTAAGTGATACAGCTCAAACACCTTCTGGATGTTCAGATGTGACCAACTCAAGTGATACAGCTCAAACACTTTCTGGATGTTCAGATGTGACCAACTCAAGTGATACAGCTCAAACACCTTCTGGTTCTTTAGATGTGAACAAATCCAGTGACAGAGCTCAAAGACCTTCTGAATCTTTTGATGTGAATGAATCCAAAGACACAGAACAAAGACATAGGACATGTTTAGATGAGAAAACCTCAAGTGATACAGACAAAGGACCTAATGGATCTTTAGATGTGAACAGCTCCGGTGACACAGATCAAAGACTTACTGGATCTTTAGATGTTAAAAACTCCCGAGACACAGATCAAAGAAGTAGGACATGCTTAGATGAGAAAAGTGATACAGATCACGAACTACATACTAACAATCATCAAAATGACGTCATCGTCGAACGCCTCATGTCACTAGTTAGCTTCCTTTTGCATTTGGATTTCAACCAACTTAAGGATGAGTACAGAAAATGTAAAAAACTTAACTTAAGAAAATTAGTACTTTAATGATCAACTTTTGAATCAAATAATGTGTGAAATATTTTCTTTAGAAAACAAACATTATAAGTGGGAAGAAGATTTAATTTACTACATAAGACTTATTCCGTATTATCTAAACTTACACATTCAAACCATATTTTTTAGCTCCTACATACTGTTAGCTGATGTTAATTTGGTTTCTAAACTTAACTTGTGAATTTAATATTTGAATGAAATTATAAAGGTGCAAAGATATCATGCAGGGCACCACAAGTGGAGGGAAAAGAAGAGGAAGACAAAGAAAAAGATGGGAAGACATCATAAAAGAGTGGACAGGACTGAAACTAGGCGATGCTGTGAGACGTGCAGAAAACAGAGAGGAATGGAGGAGGATCGTTCACATGCCATCTGTGGCGCATAAACGGTCCAAGGACTAATGGACATGATGATGATGATGGTTATTATAAATATTATATCGTTTCCTTAGGTTAAATTTTTAATTTCTCAAGTGTTTTTGCATTTCAATTATTAGGACATGTTACAATTGGTGAATGGTGAGCTATAAGATTTTGTTGATAATGGAACGATTTTCTATACAGGTTATGCAATGGCTTTGTAATATGTTACCATTTATTTGTTTATGTACACTATTAATTCTCAC